GATAAGTGTCATGTGAGAGTTAGAGTCTTTGGAAAAGGTTGAGTTAAGATTTTATCCAAGTAAGAGACTTAGTATGCTTATATATTACTAGTATTGTTTAATGATTGATCTTGAGAGATTGTGATTGTTATTGTGCTTAGTAGTAAATGTGATGTGTATAAGTGTGAAGTTTTGAATGTTGGATATCTAAAATTGAACTGAAATTTGAGATGATTATTCTATTATTTGGGTTTGTTTTATCATTTTGGTTAATTTGTTCTATCTCAGTCCCATTTTGAAATAAATGTAAGTATTTTATATCCTAAAAAGGAAATAGATTGGTCCAAATAAACGATTAAGAAATTTGATATATTTGTTCAACTTTTGAAAGTTATGTAGACTCGTTGTGAAATTAATCTATCGTTGACCGAAAATGTGATTTGGAGATTCCTATAAGAGTTAGGGTGACACGTGTCAGTTCATGATTTTTTTGAATTTTTTAATTATATTTTTATTATTTTTATTTTTATTTTTTCTTTTTTAAAAGTAAAATTTAAAAATGCCATGTGTCAAACTGATAGTGTGCCACGTGGCAATGGTAGTGTGACATGGCACTGACAGTGCCACATGTCATTGTCAGGTCACGTGTCATTGCATTAGTCTCAATTTGGTCCCTATATTTTTATTATGTTGCAATTTGATCCCTGTATTTTTATTTTGTCTCAATTTAGTCTTAATTTTAAAAATTAAACAATTTTTCCCTCCTCAAATTCAAACAAAGTTTAAATTGTATATATTTAAATAACATAACATGACACCACCATGTTATGTCACTCTTCTTTTTAAACCCTTATAGATATATTTAAATAACATAATTAATATTTCTATGATTAAGTAAATATAAATATAATTAAACTTAATCTTGTTAAAAATATTTATTAAAAATATTAATTTTAATAAAAATATTTGTTAATATTTATATACAATTTAAATTTTGTTTGAATTTGAGGAGGGAAAAAATTGTTTAAATTTTAAAATTAAAACTAAATTGAGACAAAATAAAAATACAGGGATCAAATTGCAAAATAATAAAAATACAGGGACCAAATTGAGACTAATGCAATGACACGTGGCCTGACAATGACATCAGTGCCATGTCACACTGCCATTGCCACGTGGCACACTATCAGTTTGACACATGGCATTTTTTAATTTTACTTTTAAAAAAATAAAAAATAAAATAAAAAATAAAAATAATAAAAATATAATTAAAAAATTCAAAAAGACCACGAACTGACACGTGTCACCCCTTTAACGGTGTTAGTATGTAACTAACGGTAAGACCTAAATTGATTCAATTTTTCATAATAAGGGACCTAATCGAGAATATTTACAAGGACCTACTTGAGACTATCCTACAGAAATAAGGATGTTCGAAAGGATTAAACCTTTATATATCAATTAAAAGTAGTAGTTAGCATAGCATTTTTAGTAATTACAGTATGGACGCAAAATATTAATTATATTTCTTTTTTCACTTCTAATACTCAAACAAGAAGATTTGTATAAACACTTTTAAAGAAAAAAAGAAAAAAAAGAAAAAAAAAGTTTACCAACAAGATAAAAGTTAATTTAAAAGCTTTTTAAAAAGTATTTGCTAATTTTAATTTGTGAGAGAATTAATTGTTTTAAGTAAATTATACGTTTCCAAACATGACCCGATACCTATTTGACTATGAGTTGTATGAATTTTAGATAACTTCTTATGGTAGGAATGTAAAAGTTTACATTTATAAGTGATTAATTATCAAGATTCTTCTTGGTTTATTTGCAATCCATGGTGAAACACTGATGCTCCGAAAAATAAAATATTAATGCCATTATCATCACCTTTAAAACAAATCTATTTATTTATTCTGTAAAGATAAGCTTTTACGTCACGACATTGTGGAGGCTGTTGGGGTGCGTGTGGGAAAAACCAAAGCAACGCAATTGAGTTGAATCTCTTCACGATACTGATCCAATCCAAGCCCAATCAAACGGATTTAAGCACTTTCTGCCACGTGGCACGTTGACATCGGAATCATCGAACGGTGCAAGATTGTTCCTAGCAATAAAGCACAACATTTCCATTTGTTTGGTTGCTCCGAAAAGAGAGGACCAAACAAGCCCTTATCACAACTCTATCTAACATAGTACAGGCCCAAACCAAAAAGCTTCGTCTCTCAATTCGGATTCTCCAGCACAATTCCCTTCCCCAAACAACCTTGGTTTGGTATTCTCTCTCTCACACACACTTTTGTTTTTCTTTTATTCGTTTAATTAGTGTTGGGAATTCACGTGCCCCGGTTGTTTGATCCTTTGACCTTGTAGCTTGAGATACTAAAGTTGCAATCTTTAAAGGTGGGGGCTTGCGAGTTTTGATTTTGGGTCAACTTAAAGGGGTGTTGATTTGATGGGGTCGTATGATTTGACTTTGATGGGTTGGCTATTATTGTTGTTCAGTTGTTTGTAGTGTGCTTGGTTGCTTTGGAAATGATAGAAACGATGAGGGAAATCGAAGATTTGATGATGTGGTTGTTGTTACAAAATAGAAATAGGATTGATGTAACTGGACTTCGGGGTAGTTTAGATGGATTGATTCTCTTTCTCCCTTTATACTATATAATGTGCCAGTCATGGCGTAATTGAGTTAAACCTTTTGTTTTAACAATATGAATCTTAATGCTGATTAATGGATTAAATGTGATTTTTTTGTAGTCTGATGTTATTGGAGAAACTTGGATGTTGATGCTTTCAATATTTTGACCTAGATAAACCTGATGGTTGTTCTTTTGGGTGAATTCTAACTACTAAGTACCCTGGAGACCTGGTCAATATGCGGAAGTTTGTCTTGGTTTTTGTTTATTCTCGCAAATAAAACCTCTCTTCTTTGGAACTTGAAAATAGATTCTTTTAAACTCCTATTCTATTGAAGCTAGCTAGAGTTGGAGGTAGAGTATTCATGCAGTTCTTCTAATTTATTCGTCATATTTGTTGGTATGGTGAAGAACACCAGATTCATTGGAAATAGTGGTTTAGTGATTTTATATAACAAAATGTGTAAATTTAACTACCATGGAGTTTCAAGAATACCTCTTAAACCTTGCAAGATATGATCTAAAGTACTCACATTTGGAAGCACTAATAGTATGTAATTTTATTCTTTTCTGCTGAGCCACCCTCACCAAATATCTTCTTGTTGTCACTTACTATATCTATTTCCTAGGGTGACCGTTTAGGAGTTGTCTTCTTGTTTATGAAAGAACACAATTATATTATTTGATCCATGTAACTGACGCCTGGGAAAAAAAAACTTTTGTTGTTTAGGAGGGTTAGATAGTCAATTAGTAGCTGATTGAGTGCTTTGAAAAGGTTATTGAAATGAGATTGTCGTGAATTGCCAACTATTTTTTGTGTCATTAAATTCAGGTACAACGAAAAATTACAAATATATATAGATGATATACAATATTCAATGCAAATAATTTAAACTAGAAATAGATATAACAACTTAATCAGAAATCGTACAAAACAAAACTATTAGTTATATCTAAGCTTGAGTAGTTTTTATTTTAGAAGAATGGCTAGAAAACAACTAAAAAGTTAAATGGACTACATACATTGAATGATTGAGTGAGAAAGAAGGGTGAACTAATCAAATAGGATATGTTCACAAGCGTTCTTTCAAATTCCTTTTCATTTACACATTTGAGCTCATTTCTTTTCAGGATAATTGGCAAAAATGTGAAAACAAATAAATCATTGAATCGAGTGTTGATACGAATTACATAGGTTCATTATGTATCATGAGATACAAAGTCAGTTAAGATTCTTCTTGTGGTACGAATAGGTAGACAACCAAAATGTATCAAATCATAAGACTTAAATAGTGAATTGTAAGATTCTGATAACTATGCTCTAAACAGTACTTGTGAGAATGGGATTTGCGGTTTGAAGAAATTGAGGAGAATTTGGTAGGATGGTGATTAACAGATTTGTGTTTTAGTATTCTTTATGAAAACTATAAAGTTTAGCTACTTTGGTTTCAGAATGTGTATATATAAATTTTCATTCTCAATTTAGATTTTTGTCATGATGATTTTATATAAATGAATATTTTCTAGCTTCCCTACTGAATTAACAGATCCCGATTTGATCTGATAGAGTAAATTTTTACAGAATTGAGGGATGTTACTTGGTGTTGGTGAGTTGGATAATAAAAATGTGGAACCTACTACATGATTTTGGCACCCATATTTTACGTACCACTTGAGCTTTGAAGCTATTGTAGTTGAAGATTTTATGCCCCAATAAGTTAGAATTGGAACTTTATAGGTTATACACATAATAGTAACATTCTCAGGATACTATTGTTTAGTTCCTTGCATGAAGGTTGAGAGTATAAATGAAAATGAGAAGAAAAATGATCTTAGTAGTAAATTGAAATTTGATGAGATTGTGTTTGCCTTGTGTTCTTTAATTTTTACATAAAAATGGTGTTAATGTTGGATTTCATGTTTGCGAGAAGTATGAGTTTTCAAATGTTCATGCATTATAGAAACTCAAACTAGACATTATCTCATGAATGATGTCATTTAGATATTGGAAGGTCTACCAAGTATTCCTGCTAATTGATTATCGTGCTTTTGTGATCTTGATGAAGTATTGGTGGAGGTGCTAAATTGTAATTCTCAGAATGATTTTCATCATTTCTAAAATTTTGTTAACTAGGTTCTTACTGTTTTAATAGTAGTACCGTTTAGTTTATGAACTGGCATGTTTAACAACTTAATCTGACACCTTTTTTTTTTTTTTAAAAAAAAAAAACTGTACGCAAAAAATTGCTACATCAAGTGAAAGCTCTAAACGTCATCACCCTCCCTATTTAATATGAGAATATCACTCTTTACCATTACCTACTCCTGTTTCTAATTTAGTTGACATGAACCGTGCTGTCATTTGTTATATAACAGCAATTAGTGTAGAAGATGAGTACGTTGGATGCAACAAGGGCTGAACTTGGTCTTCTTGTTTTATATTTGAGCAAGGCTGAAACAAGGGACAAGATATGCAGGGCAATTCAGTATGGTTCCAAATTTGTGAGTAACGGGGAACCTGGTACTGCTCAGAATGTAGACAAATCAACCAGTTTGGCACGAAAGGTCTTCCGGCTTTTCAAGGTTAGGTTTTTCTGAGTTTTGAAACCTTCTTTTTCATCTGTTCGTAACTTCAATATAGGAAGTTACTTCATATTTTCTTTCTGTCACTTAGGGAGTTTCTGTTTATAATAATGTTTCTTTCTTTGTATCATTTTCCTTTGATTGGTTTGCTCAGAAAAGACTAGAAATCTATAGTATGCATAATTTTCTCTTTTTGTTTTTTGGGTTCCAAGGCCATAATAGTAGGAAAAAAGGATAAATCAAAGATAGTCAAATACTGTTAATTTTTTAAAGTATTAGCCAGTTATAAAATTCAAGCAGTCATTTTGGCAAAAAAATTAGGTGTTACAAACTATTTAGTTCATGCAATGACCATCACTCTTATACTTCACTCTTTAATTTGCAGTTTGTCAATGACCTACATGGTTTGATAAGTCCAACACCACAGGGCACTCCCTTGCCCCTAATTCTGTTGGGAAAGGTATGGGCACTGCTAGAACATTTAACCTTTTCTCATCCTTTTTGGGTTTATATATATTTTAAGTGTAATGCTTCCACTGATTTTGCTGATGACTAATCTCCATCAGGAAACTTAGTTGTCTACCTATAATGAGGTTTCTCTCCCCAACCATTTTCTTTCATCTTTGTTTTTATATTTCAGTCCAAGAATGCACTTCTCTCCACTTTCTTGTTTCTTGATCAAATTGTGTGGCTTGGCAGAACAGGAATCTACCAGGTAGGAAATGATAAACTATATGTTTTGTTTAGCATCGTGTTTGTTTCTAAATTATTATATAGAAATCATCTAGCAGTGTGTTGAGAGTATTGTGTCTAACTACAGAATAAAGAACGCACCGAATTAATTGGCCGGATATCTCTTTTCTGTTGGCTGGGTTCCTCGGTGTGCACCACCTTGGTTGAGGTTTGTGGCTTACCTACCTTCATTGATTCCAACATGTGTGCATTTATGCCCTCAAGTTCCTTCACTGTTTACCCTTGCAATATTTTACTTTGATCAGCTCGGGGAGCTTGGAAGACTCTCTGCATCAATGAAGAAGTTAGAGAAAGACCTCAAGAACAAGAATAAATTTGATGTATGTTGTCCATGCACGTGTCCAAATTCTTCAAACTTTCTGTTTTTTGTTTTACTTTTGGACTGTGATTGCATTACTTTTCTGTTTATTTCATTACTTATGTCTGCAGGATGAGAAATACCGTGGCAAACAAAACCAGTCAAATGAGAGGACTCTATCACTCATCAAAGCAGGAATTGATATAGTGGTAGCAGTTGGACTGCTTCAACTGGCACCTAAGACAGTTAATCCACGTGTGACTGGTGCATTCGGATTTGTATCATCTCTAATATCTTGCTATCAGGTACATGCTAGTATAATTGTAGTATGCTTCCTTTTTGCATATATTTTCCATCCCTAAAACTTTGTATCCATGACCTATCTGTGTGCACAAACATACATACCTTTTTGCAACTATTGACATAGAGAGACAGAAAAATGGAGACAAAATGAGCTCTTGACAATTTTTTCTCAAGAAAATTAGCAACCACATTAGCAGTGTTTCAAATAAAGTTTTGTAAATATTTGTGTCTCTCTTGATCGTTTAAGGTTATGGTTTCTTAACATTCTTAGGAGTGCCGATTTCGCTAACAAGAATTTCTGGTTTGTGCAATGCAGCTGCTTCCTGCTCCGCCCAAATCCAAAACCTCATGAAGTGTGGAAGAATAGAATGGTTCTCATGAGATCTCACTGGTGTCAAATAATTATATGAATTGGTCAGAAAATGTTGGTTGGTGTGAGCATTGACCAATATTCATCATAGTCACAGTTGCTCCCAAAAACTGCTTTGTAGGGTATCTATGCAACAATATTCATAATTTACATACATAAATTTAAGACATCCAACATCAAATTAGTTCACCCCTTCCTCTCAATGCTTTATTGTGTTATCAAAATGGTTCAAATTAGTCTTTGAGGGACAAAATGAATGCGATGATTTTCTCTATAAACAACTTATTTGTGTATTTAACACGAGTGAATAGTCTGTTCCACTATGAAATGGGGTTGAGTGAAGACAGTTTTGAATTGGATTAAGATCTATAGGGTATTCCAGAAAATATGATTGAAACGAACTTAAAATTTTTCAACTCTGCAAAAGAGATAGTTTTGATTAAGGTAAAGTTATTAATTTTATATGTTAAATATCTCAATTACCTTGATTAATAAGAACTTGAGGAATGTTGTCAATCATCTACCTCATTGAATGATTAGTAAGTTAACTATGATTAATTTTATACCACTTAATTTTGAATTTATGAATTCATAAATGGACGAGGACTCAATATTTTATATAAATATAATTTATTTAATGATCAAATTAGTGGATTTTATTTCATCAAAAATAAATTTCAGTGAAATATCACAACTTATAAATATTACCAAAATAATTTAGTGGGATGTTGTTTGATTTAATAACTACCAAAATTATAAGGCAAGAATAATTATTAAATTTGATGTAAAAGCTTCAACTATACTTCGTCAATTTTGTTTAAAATTCCTTAAGGGAATATTTGTTGACAAGGAAAACAAAATAAGTTTATTACTTTCAAAAGCATTTAAAAGGTAATGCGAAAAGTTATGGAAATAAATTATAAAATTAAATATTCATTAATTATTTGTTTGAAGGTTTATTTATTTTTTAAATCCAATCATCAATTAGTTACAAAATTACTAGTCTAGGAATACACGCAGAATCTTCGTAAAATTTAGAAGAAGAAAAAACAAATATATAAATATCCCATTTCAATTCTATTGACTTAGTATATCTTAGGCATAGAATAGACCGTCTTAATTCTGCTGGGATGAAACCTCTTTATTTTTCCTTCATTCATCATATTATCATTCCGCAACACAAACTAAAATTTCTCACTCAAATTTCATCATTAATATTCTCTAAAAATATTTGGAAATTTTCTACAGAATTCACACAATACATCTAATAAAATAAGAATTTTTAACAGACACAACTGTTCTTAATTTGTTTTGAATATATTTAATTTTCAGGTGTTCGTATAAAACAATAAAGATATACATAAGATCATTCTTGAGGTTTTATAGAACATGTTTTTCGATTAACTTATCATAATTAGTTTGTGACAAATGAAGTGGTCAGCAAGTAGCATCAAATGCTAAAACCCCATAATTGGATGTAAGTTTACGAGTTGTGAGAGAGCTCAAGTTTCAAGCATCATGTTAAACCGGCGACAAAAAAGGCGCAATATTTGTCCAACACCATATCTACAAGAGAAATAAATTCTCAGAATCAGATCAGTAGCAAAACAGAGAAAGACCAGAACTTTTTGAAGGGTAAACGCATAAAAAAGAAAACAGGAAAACTAGTTGGAATGTGATCACTCCTTGCCTGGGGAGATTATAATTTTTCCCCTTTCCTTTATTTGGGAGGAGATTATAAAAGCAAGCAAAGATCAGAGAGCATATTCTGGATCAGAATCATAAATATCATCATCATCCTGATCCCATTCCAAGACTCCTACTCCTCGTGCTTGCAATATAGTCACAAGCCGTCGGATATCTCTCACTATTTTTGGCTCCTCGGAAGCCAGCTGATCCCTCTTCAACACAAATATTCCAGAGGGCTGAAGAATTTCCACATTGAACGGTGGTGACAATGAGCCTCCCAGAACTTGAACATGGGAAACACTGCAATCACAATTTTAAAGACATTAAAACCTAGCACTGCGTAAGGCTTATTAGACATTGTTTAAGATACTGAATCTGCTCTGCCACTAATTAAGTTTCATAAAACCTCAACAACAAAACAAGTTTGACAAGTAGAGACAAAATGGAAGAACAGAACGCACCAAATGTATAACAAACCATCCATTTCTTGTCTCTGTACTCTGCCCAAAAGCTCAATCTGCAAGATCCCCCCAATACAAAGCACAGGTTCTGGAAGCTTGAACGTCTGTAGTTTGTTTTCCTGTTCACAAGGATTTTTCTCTCTAAAATTTATGTAAAGGGAAACTTCACGATGCTAATAATTTTAGTCATGCAACAACAATCTTGTTTATTCTATTTTTTAGGGAAATAGATGATCCCATTCTCCAACAACTTTTATTTTCAAATTTGTAATATTTGCATTGAATAATGCATAGACCCAGAATCAAACTCATTTTAGTGAGTCAACAATCTAATAAATAAATCAAACTTGATATAATTCATTCTCCTCATCCCATGCATAACATATTATGAACACTGACAAACACCTGAAGGGACATAGGATCTCCCCAACTAAAGTATTTCAATATAGAATTGATGTAGTTTCCCACTTTATGTCAGCCAAATATTCTTTCTTATTGCCTAAGAATGTGACTTCTGATAATTCATTACGATTTATTAAATGTGAAACTTTTTTTAGTTGGTATTTATATATATGTCATAAATTATTTAACTTCTAAGTTTAAAACATAGCCATCACCGTGCTATATGCTATCCCACTATAGCAGTTGGGGAATTGACTCCTTCATATATGTCAACATGATGGATAAATATGATTTTCAATATTATAGCTAGCACAGTGTCACTACGGAAGATAATGGCAGAATAGGGAAGTAACCATTTGAATAATAGGAGAATATCAAAGGACAGGTCATGCAGGAATTAGAATAATAGGCCCTTTCTGACACATAAGAGTCTAATGACATGAGAAGTGAAGTAACCATTAGTTAAAAGGCCCAATCAGAAGATTCCCTTACTAGCATATCGACCTCCCAATGTATGTTAAATTTGATATACTATGTTTTTAATTTGATAAAAAATAACCACCAATTTACCATCTGTTGCCAAGAGTAAGATTTAATGTACTCTTGATTGAAAATTAAAGTGGCATGCCTAATTATTTATTTACTTCAAACATTTTAGCCAACTAGAGGATATGAGAAATTTCAGGTCGGGCCATCTGATTGTTTTTCCAGCATGACATCAACCTATCAAATGATTATAAAAATTGAAAACCTTCGAAGGAGCAAATGATCCTCATACTCATATTTAAATCCAATGCGGATATGTGCCACAAGGGCATGGTTTGGTCCAATAGACCAAGGGTGATTCACGTTATTTTTAACAATACAAAGGAAACTGGGAGACAAGCAAAGTTTACTAATGGCGTGACTTCTTATTACATAATATCATATGGTAAAGAAGAGGAAGAGTTATGAAGCCTTCTGACGACGACACAAGTAACACTCTTCAACAGAACTTAAAGTGGTTTGAATTAAATGTAGATCTGCAATATGGACCTGGTTTGTCCAATAGATGTAGGATAATTCACATCATTTTTAACAGTGGAATGTAAATTAAGTAACCAAAGAAATCATTTCCTCATGCAGTGATTTCTTATTAATACATATCACGCAGAGAGTATATGTTATATAAACACAACGGAGCTTGAATAAATTTGACAATATAATTATGGCTGGTACTAAACACCTAATAAACCAGATGATGATGACATCAGACAACAAACAATAATGAAGATGGCGATTTATTCATAAAATCAGGTCTTGCTTATCCAATGCTAAAAAAGAAGCCTAAGTTGCATTATGACTTTTTTCAATATTTTGTTTAGTTCAATCAAAAGCATCACAATTATAACACTAGGGAGTTCACTGGTTATAGAAGGGGGTTATTACAATTTGGGACAAACTTCAGGTTACAAACCTGTAGAAGGGTAAGGCATCCTTTAACAGGAAAGGATCTATTTTTTCACATCAACCATTGGGCAATCAATGAAACAGATATTATTCATTGGAAAAAATAAGTTGACAAACTAGATAAGACGTAAGTTAAATACCTGAGACATTGGAAACTCCGGTGAAGTATAGGTCCACACAAACAATTCATCATCTACAGCATCTAAAGAGGCTTTAGGATGACCCATTTTAAACCGAACAGAGCTTGCTGAGTATATTGGTGACCCCAGCTGAAAGTAAGCTAGAAAAGGCATGATATTGTTAGCAAAAAGACGAAAGTTAGCATATATTGGTCAAGCCATCATCTATGAATATTTCAAAGAGCACCTTGAAAAGGCCGGATATTGATTTCTGTAATAAGACAAATTTGAGAGACCAACTCGTATGTTAACGTCTCAGGCACATTGGGATTACTTTGTCCGTTACTTGACCAGTAGGAATATCTACCACCAATGACATCTCTTGGCTCAAGTGTATGATCAATGCTCTCCTGAGGAAAGTTATCAGTGCTAGAAGCACCAATTGTCTTAGCAATGCAATTCATTGCTACAGATGACATGAGAGCTTTGCTTAAATAAGAAAAAACTCTATGTTCTCTTTGTAGCACTAGCCACTCCATAGAATTACTAGATCCAACCTCTGCATGTTCCTTTCCTCCTTGTTGATTCAGTTCAACAACAAAAGCAACTCTAGATAATTGAGGAAACATTCTCAAGCAAAGCTGCTTGCAAAGACCATTTGCAATCACTGCAAGCCAAAGTAGTGTTGATCAAATTTTAAACGTAATGTAAAATTGAAGGCAACAAGGAACTAGAACTGAATTTTCATGAAACTGAAGCACCAGTTGAGAAACAAAAGCATAATTTGAACTAGAATAACTTACCAGATTGTCTCAAAGATCGTGAGACACAGGTGACACGAACAAGATCAGCAGGATCATCCAGGCACTCGAGTATCTTAAGAGACGTATCAGAATCAAGATAGCTGATAAAATCTTCATGACATTCCATTGTGGACACGGTGATGAACAAACAAAACTACGAATCTTCTCAAGACGGATTGAATTGCCTAATAAAGTCAGCTGTAACACCAACTTTAAAGTGAAAAACAAATATACTCAAAATAAAAACTACGGTCTTGTTTTACAACCTTTCTATAGACAA